CGTGCCTGGCTAATTTTTTCTATAAATTTTTAGTTGTCCAGCTAATTTCTTTCTATTTTTTTAGTAGAGACGAGGTCTTGCTCTTGCTCAGGCTGATCTTGAACTCCCGAGCTCAACGATCCTCCCACCTCGGGCCTCCCAGAGTGCTAAGATTACAGGCCTGAGCCACTGCACCCAGCCTTTACTTTAACTTTTAAACTTTCCTTGTGGAGAGTTCTCTTTTGTCTGGTTTGGACACATCAGGATCCTGGAGGGTAAAGTGGTATTTTGTGGCAGGAGCCCACATTCTCAGTCCAGAGGGTCGTGGTTAGACTTAGTTACCTGGTAGGAGGACACTTTCTTTCTAGCCTGTTGTTCCTGGACGAGTGTCTCTTCCACCTATTGGCAGGTCTTCTGTCCTTTTTTTTCTGTGAGACAGCAGTCTTGCTGTGTTGCCTAGGCTAGCCTGGAACTCCTGGGGTCAAGTGATCCTTCCGCCCCAGCCTCCCATAGTGGGGACGATAGGCGTGTGCTACTGTGCCGGCTACACCTAGGCCCTTGTTTATCATGGTTTTGCCTGCGGCTCTTTTCCTGGGGCTCCCAGTGTCTTTGTGAGATGAGGGCTTTCCCTTAACCTCAGCGTGTGCTTGAGATGGCTGGAAGCTGATGGGATCTCACACTATTGTGAATTACTTAGCCAAACCAAGTGTCCAGCATATTTCCCTTTTTGTTTTAGGACAGTCAGGCAAGTGTTTGTTGAGCACGGTGCCAGGGGAGCTCCAGTCTAGGGGAGAAAGGACACGGACAACACAGTCTTGGTCCCATGGACTCAGAGGCTTGTCCAGTAGGAAAAAGGGAGTCTGCTTATAATTCAAGGTTGGGGAAGATCAAGCCCAGGGTCAGAGTCAGGAGCAACTGGAGGAGGCCAGGCACCACCCAGAACACTGGGTGCTGGGCAGGGGAGGGGTTAGAAGAGGCTTTGGGAGGGAAGAATGTTTGAGATGGACTTTCAGGGGCAGCCAGGGCCTTGATGGGTTGAGAGGAACTTAAGGGAAGGAGCAGCCTGAGCAAAGGTGCAAGGGAAGGGAGAGTTGCAGCAGGAGGTATTAGGAAAGAGTGTGGGTTTTGTGGCCCACAGGAAGGGCAGATTAGAAAAGAGCCTGAAAAAACCTTCGAAGGGGAGGGCCTTGGGCGCTTCTCTGAGGGTTTCAGGATTAATCATAGTCATCAAAGTCTCATTGTCAAGGAAGACATGGGACCAGAGATGAGTGTTGGCATTGTGAAAGTTTTCCTGGCAGCAGGGTTCCTGAGAAGTGAGAAAGAGTGAGAACTGCACGTGGGTGGTGGTGGGGACGCAGAGTAGGGTCTGCAGTCAGGGAAATAGTGGCACAGTAACCGGAGATGCAGCAGCCACTGGGCGTTCAGGCGAGCAGGAGGGATGAGCGTCACACTTACGCACCGTGAACCGTAACTCGTTAGCTCACTGACCATGAAAGAGTTTAAGGCAGCTTTATTTGTCCATTACGGCCTTAGGCCTAATTTGGGGCAGAAAGTTGAGGAAGCTTATGTTGTTGAGAAGAGAGAGGTCATCTTAGAGTGAGCGTGCTAGAGTTGGGGGGCGTGCCAGGCAAGGCTGTTCAGGACAGTTGTCGTGGGGCACATGTGGAGGGTCAGTCAGAAGTGACGATATCATGGCTGCACCAAGCCCATACTGGGCGGCTGTTCTCACGCACACGCACACCTGCACGTAGGCCCACACAGACCTGCACGTACACACCCACACTCAGAAAAGAACAGACCCTGACACTAGTGTCAGGCCACTGACACCCTCGTGTCTCTAGAAAGTTCTAGAGAGGTTATAAGACATTGCAATGTATATTACACAACTTGTTAATCAGAGGAAATGCTTACCTCAGCCAGCAAAGAGTCTTTTTTTGTGACTTGTTTTCGGATTTAAAAACATTTCTTTGAGATGTTCACAGAGTATGAATTCGGTAACCAAAAGCATGGTTATCATGTTCAGATTTCCAAATTTCTCTGATTAAAGAAAATGGAAGGAAACATCTATGGGACAAACATTTAAAGTTATTTGCAACATTTCCCCTAATTGTTCACATGAAATTAAATATGACATCAAGGGATACACATAATGTGATGTAACTTGAATTGTGTTTTCAAAACTGCCTGTTAATGTAAAAAGAAACATGAAAACCAGCTCATAGGAGAAAATAACAGTGCCTCACTCTTCAAGAGCATTGCTGTGTACAAAATATTTTCTTCAATTAAAAATATTCTTTACATGGCTGCTTTGTGAGAGATATTATTAATAAGAATAAAAGAGGCGAGGAAAGAAGATTTTTCTTGGAATTCTGTTCTCCTTAATACTGTAAACTATTACAGTAAACCTTGAAATTTTATGGAGGTTTTGGGGAGTGGGTAGCAGTAGTTGTCTACTATTGTGTCTCCGAATACAAAGCAGTACCAGGGTGGCGCCACAGGGCAGCTGGGCTCCTCATGGGTTATGTAGGCTTGGCCTTGTTAGTACCCTGTGCTGTCAGAACCTCCTGCAAAAAGGATTGAGATGTTTTTGTGTGTGTGGAGTGGGGGGGAAATTTAAAACTCTGGCTTATTATCTAAAGTGACTTTTTTATGCCAACCACTATTCAAACAATTTATTTTTCTGTATAAATATCTGTGTTTTGAATTAATTCTTTATAAATATTACACATTATAAAATTTGTCTTTTTAAAAATTAGAAATGCACTTAGTAAATGGTTTTATGGGGCAGGGCATGAAGGCTCACGCCTGTAATCCCAGCACTTTGGGAGGCCAAGGCAGGGAGATTGCTTGAGGCCAGGAGGTTGAGACCAGCCTGGGCAGCATGGTGAGATGCTATCTCTTAAAACAAAACAAAACAAACAAACAAACCCCAGCAAAACACGAAATAAGTGGTTTTACATAAACACACTTTAATGAAACAAAATCCTGAGTGACTTAACACCTTGTAACTAACTTTGATGAAATTTGATTTGAGTTAACACACTATTCTATTTTAGAGAGTTAAATGCATTTGGATTGTAACTTGTTTTTCTCACAAAACTAGGGTGGGACATGGGTAATGAAAGATACTCAGTTTGGAAATGGAAGAGTCTTGGAATAGAACATAAATCTAAATTGCTAATACTGATCTGAGGGTAAAGTGGTTAATCTCACCAAGAAAGAGGAGTGTGTACATTACGCTGAGATGCCATTCGTTTGTCAGGTGTTTACTGGGCATTTGTTATGTGCCTGGCCCTATGCTGGGCTCCAGTGACAGGATAAATCACATGCGGTCCCTGCCCACGAGGATCCACAGGCTTGTGGGGAAGAGGGCAACTTAACAGAAGCTTGTAAGACTTGGGGGAGGGCTTCAGGGACACTGAAGGTGGGAAACCAGCTCCTCCCAGGGTTGGGGTGGGGTTAGCTTAGCTTTATTAAAGGAGCCACCCTGGTGCTGGGCCTTGGGAACAGATGGAGGAGGCAGTGTCCCAGGGCAGACCTCTGCAAAGATATGGCCGTGAGAGGGCCTGGTCTGGTCTGCAGAGGGTAGAGTGAGACTGGAAGGACAAATGGGCCAGACCGTGTGTAGGTTTTATCCTACCGGTAATAGGGAGGCATCAAATACGGTTTGGCTGAGGAGTGTCATGCTTAGGGTCATATTTTTAAAAATATAATAATCCTTCCCTTAGCTATGGGGGATACGTTCCAAGACCCCCAGTGGATCTCTGGAACCATGGATAGTATCAAACCCTATATATACTACAAACGAATTTCTTTTTCCTTCTTCACAATTTCACAGATAGAAGATTCTTTCTTACCTTAGATCTTAGCAACCTCAGCATGTGATTTCTTTTTTTCCTTGAGTTGAGACCTTTCACCTAAAAGAAGCACTCTTTGGCTTTTCTTTGCCAGCATCACTACCCTTGCACTTTGGGGCCCTTATTATAAAATAAGGGTTACTTAACACAAGCATTGCAATGCTGAGACAGCCGATCCGATACTGAGACGGCTGCTAAGTAACTAACAGGTAGTATCTACAGTGTGGACACCTGGACAAAGGGATTCATGTCCTAGGCAGGGTGTCGAGAGATTTCATCATGATACTCAGAACGATGTGCAATTTAAAACTTACGAATTGTTTATTTCTGAAATTTTCCATTTAATAATATTTTTGGACTGCAATTGACCATAGATAACTGAACATGCAGAAAGCGAAACCGCGGGTAAGGGGGGACTGCTGTAAGAGGTGGCAGTGTGGAGGCTCCGTGGAGGTGGGAGAGAAAATGGTGGGGGTCTGTGACAGCTGAGGACCCGAATTGAGGCCACGGCTGTGGGGATGGGAAGGGGAGGTCCACTGAGTCACGCTGGAGTCAGAGCTGGCAGGATTTGAGGCGTGTGGTGACACAGAGAAGTTGAGGGTCGACCGAGTTTCTAGCTCGATGCTGCCATTTTCCCAGAGAGGATGATACAGAAGGAGGAAGAAGTGGGGCGGCAGGTGAGAGGGGAGTTTGGTTTGGAACATGTTGGATTGGTAGCCTCCAATGAGGCATGAATTTATTTGGAAACATACATGCTGTAAAATATTTTGATCCACTCATTAGATGCTGGAGAAGTTTTTAAACTTATCAGTTAACAAGGTAGAAAGTAGACATTATGGAGGAATATAAAGGTATAAAGGAAAATGCACTCAACTGAGAGTTGAGCGAAATGCTGTTCCTGGTTCTTTGACACCCTGAACGTGTGTCCTGGGGTGAGCCACTTCACCTTTCCAGGCTTCATCTCCTGCTGTGTGGGCTAAGACATCTCTGAGACCCCTTCCATCTCTGGAAAAATTCATTGCTTGTTAATAGTGACACATTCTGAAAAATAATCCAGGCCTCTCTGTTGCTAGGTTTGGTGTGACCACATCCTCTTTGAGGCAGTCCTGGCCCAGCGTCCTGCCAAGGACTTAGACTAGGATGTTCTCTAGGGCCCTCACCAACTCTGCTCCGTATTTCAGATCACCGAAGTGGCCTTGGAGTACAACAACTGTCACGGGGACCAGGTGGTGGAGCGCCTCCTTCAGCACCTGCGGCGAGTGGACGCTCCAGCGCTGGAGTCCCTGGCACTGGAACCGCCGGCACAGCTGCCAGACCCGCCGCTGATCACAGCTTCCCCCTGCTGCAACACCGTAGTGCTGCCCCAGTGGCACTCCTTCTCCAGGACCCACAACGTGTGTGAACTGTGTGTCAACCAGACCGCGGGGGGCATAAAGCCGAGCTCGGTCAGCATGCCACAGTGCAGCTTTTTTGAGATGGCAGCAGCTCTGGATTCTTTCTACCTCAAGGAGCAGACCTTTTATCATGGGGCATCAGACAGCATAGAATGCAGCAATTTTTTAACTTCCTATAGCCCTTTCAGCTACTACACTGCATGTTGCAGGACCATAAACAGGGGTGTGGCAGGCTTCATTGATTCTGAACAAGATGTCTTTGAAGCCCCGACCATTGCATTTTCTTCCCTCCAGAAGAAATGCGAGGTTGATGCTCCAAGCTCCGTTCCTCACATTGAGGAGAACAGGTATCTCTTCCCTGAAGTGGACATGACTGGCGCAAACTTCACAGGCCTGAGCTGCAGAACCAACAAGACCCTGAACATCTACCTTTTGGATTCAAATTTATTTTGGTTATATGCAGAGAGACTGGGTGCTCCGAGCTCCACTCTGGTAAAAGAATTTGCTGCAATTGTTGATGTGAAAGAAGAGTCCCACTATATCTTGGATCCAAAACAAGCTCTTATGAAGTTCACCCTAGGTACTGTAGGCAGTTCACTCCCCCAGGCATATTAAGTTTTGCTTAACTTAATACACGTAACTTTTATTGAGGAGTCTCATTACATTTGGTTGCGGGGGTGATGTCAGCTCTTTAGCTCGTTTTAAATCTTTAGACCACAATTGGTCATAACTTTAGAAGAAACTAATTTTGTCTGTTGAATGGAACTTCCTAAATCCAAATTGGAAAAGTTTGTCATTTAGACCGTGGTGGGGTAAGAGTCCAAATTTTTAGATTGGCGATTCCAGTCACATTTCTAAGGTAGAGCCAGCTGCAGTCAGTGGGGACTGGGCAGGGAGGTGGAGCCAGTCTGGTGGGACGCCCCGGGAGCTGAAGAATGTGAGCAATGGCAGCTGCTTCATCGTAAAGGAGCTTAAAGTGCAGGCAGTGAAAAAATAGGACCACCTTGCGTCCCCTTTGGTTTCACAGGTTTAAATGTGTTGAGTATCAGGGCCACCAGACCTCATTTGTTCTGCTGCTGTTTTATGATGTGTTGAGGGGGCTGCCGTGGCCTCAAGTGCCTAGACAAACAAGCATCGTGTGCAATAAACAAGGGTCAAGTTGCAAACCAGCAACAACCACTTTTTGGGGGGTAAGGCTCCATTGTGGGAAAATATCCAGAGCTTGCCCCTGGGGCTCAGCAGCAGCCGTGAACTGTCCCATGCCGTCCTGTTCCCAGGACTTTGCTGACGTCCTGGATGTACACACAAGGAAGTGAGAATTCAAAAGCCATATTAGTTCAGCTTCATTGGAAACATGAGGGAGGGTCAGTGTTTGCCAAATGGTGAAAGGAGGAATTTTGTAGGAAGGAAGCTTTTTATTTCAAGTTCTGTAAAGAATGAAATCAGAAGTAAACTCAGCTCCTAAATACTAGTCCTTTCAGCCATCCTCTTTTAAATCCAGGTGAAGCTTGTTTCTTACATTAGAAATGTTTGTGAAAAACCTTATGTAAATACTGATTTTTCTCTATATCAAATTAGATATTATAAACATGAGGGCTCCTCAGTGTTTAAAGGAACCCTGTGTCCAGTCACTTTATGAAGGGCATAATCTACTGATATTATTCCTAATTCAAGTTTTCTAAAATTATTTTGGTGTATTGGGTTTTCTCACAATGAAAGTAGCATGTATTTTTAAAGTGTGTGTTGAATTTTCCTGAATTCTGTTCAGTAATACTCAAGTGTTTGATGAGCTCATAATATGTTCACTTAGAATTTAAGGGTAATTGAAAGAAGCCTTCTTCAGATTTCTTTCCATCTCTGTATCTACTCAGAAATGTCTAGCTCAGCTGTTCTTTGTCCTATAGTTGGTGACAGAATTTTTAGAATTTAGAATTTTTAGGGGCTTGTTAAAAACAACAACAACAACAACAACAACAAATCTACTGTATGTCATTGTCAGTTTAGAGAGTTAACATACAAGTCTGCTGTCTCTAAGGGCAGTTTCAGAATTTAGGCTTCATTCAGATAGGAAATATTCTTGGTTTTATGTTTCAAAAATGTGGCCAACTCAGTGTTATTCAGATGCTGATCATGAATTCTCTTTAGTATTCACATGACATTCTTTACTTCCTCCTCCATTCTGCACATGTCACTGTCCCTTAGGCCCTCAAAATGGAGGGAGTTAGAAGAAAGAAAAAGAAGTGAAACTGAAGTCAGTGTTACTGCAGATGAGGCAAAGGACTCTGAAGATGGCAGACTCTGTGGGGAGGGTAAAACTGTTGGTTCCAGTTAGGTTTTTGAGTATTTTTAGGTTTTATTTATGTATTTCTCCCCTACATATAATTGAGTTTATTTTTCTTAACCTTTCAAAAAAGAAACTTGAACAACTTTAATAAAGGAAACAAAAAACCATAGCTCCTTGTCCTCAAATTAATGAACATTTGAACACATTCCACATTATTATAGTTTGTGCAATTACTGCATTTGTAGTTACGCTTACCTCTGTACCTTAATACAACTTTAGTATTATAGTTCAAAATCTCCTGAAAAGATGGTGGCTTGTTGATGATTTATGCAGTCTCACTTGGTATCTGTTTGTGGATCAGTCCTTTTAGAAAAGAATAGAATTCCTATTCCGTGAATGTCAGAGCATGTAACGCTGCATGGTGTTTTGTTATCTAAGTTACTGTCCACTGAGTTAATGCTACCAGAGCTAAACCTGATGCCACCCTGGCAGCTTTGTTCAGGGTTTTGCTTATAGGTGAAATGAGTTAAAAATGTGAGCCTGTGAAGTCATTCCAGTTTTTAAAACGTCGAGTTTAAAGTAGGCCAGCTACTTTCCTTGTACCTAAAGAAGAGTTGATCTCATTTTCTGTTTATTTTTAGAGTCTTTTATTCAAAACTTCAGCGTTCTCTACAGTCCCTTGAAAAGGCATCTCATTGGAAGTGAGTCTGCCCAGTTCCCTTCTCAGCATTTAATCACTGAAGTGACAACTGATACCTTTTGGGAAGTAGTCCTTCAAAAACAGGTATGGAGTCACAAGAGAGGCAAAAAGCAAGCCATCTGTCTCTATTAAAATAATTTCCAAAGCCGCAGTTGTTGGGGTGAGTGGCTGTTTTTGATGCATAGAAGAGGAACCACGTGGCAGTCCGATTGTGGAACATGAGGGAATTACATGGTGGTTTTCTAATTGCAGAAAGTCCTTAAGAGAGCACATAATTGGAAAGATCTAAAGATGAAATTTTTCACTATTTCTGCATAGGCGGCATTTATTGAATGCCTGCTGGATTCTAAGCACAGGAAAGAACTGAGGAGGAGCCTGTTTCTCAGGTGCCAGTAATGGCCCTCTTCCCCTTCCCACAGGACGTCCTGCTGCTTTATTATGCACAGTGGTGTGGTTTCTGTCCATCCCTCAATCACGTCTTTATCCAGCTAGCTCGTCTCCTGCCAATGGATACATTCACTGTAGCAAGGTAAGAAGTCCGTTCTGCAGCACTTTGGGCTGTGTGCCTGAGCGTTCGCTCTCTCTCTTTTTCTTTTTTCTTTTTTTTTTTTTTTGCATCTTAGCCATATGGTGTTTGAGGGTCTGCCCATTTTCCATTAACCTTTGGTAAGACCCATTGGTTGGATTTAATTGTCAGGCTGAAGCCATGAGCAAAGCCTTATTAAAACCAAACTTCCCCCGATGAATTCTGCGTGTTCCTTCCGCGATGTTGATGTTTAGCCCTGATTGAATTCATAGGTAGGTGAGGGCAGGTCTGTGGGAAGAGCACTGACCTGGTCACCAGGATGGGCCCCTGAGTGGCCAGCTCCTTGGTATACCATGGGAAGGTTGCCCCAGGAGTTGCCAACCAGCCCTGGGACCTGCAGCAAATCTCTCCACCAGCCCTTGTTTTCCTCCTCATTTGTGAAGTTAAGAGGAAGGATTAATTGATATCCACGTGTTCTAGTTTTATGATTCCATGGGTACTATACATAGGCTCTTGAGTAAACAAAAAAAAATCTAAATTTTGTTTTTTAAAGAAGGCTCAAAGAATTTTTAGATGAGATAGTAAGCAGTTTGTTTAGATTAACTCCTCCCCACAAAACTCCAGATAGATTAGAGTTAAACATAAAAGATCAAATCACAGAAAAAAACAGAAGATAGAGTATTGGATTTGCTAGTTCCTTTGAGAGAGGGAAACTGTTCCAAAGTAGAAACAGTTGAAAAAATAATGAAAGAAAGATGAACAGATTCCACTAGAAATACATGCAAAGAAAACAAATAAGGAAAACAGACTAAAAAAGGGGACCATTAATGTATTTTACAGCATGTGTATTTCATCTGTCATATGTACTACAGGTAATACTTAGAGCCAAATTTGAGGAATTACTATGCTGAGAGATTTTTGCACGTACATTGTTATCTGACTTAATCCTCAGGACACTCAGTGAAGCCAGTATGGTTATCACTCTCTTTTTATTGAAGAGGAAACTGAGACACAGAAAGATTAGGCAGCTTGCCCCGAGTCACACAGCCTATAAATGAGAGACCAGGATTCAGAATCAAGTGTTCATACTCCAGACCCTGCAAAATTAAAATGGTTAAGAAATTACAATGGTTTAAGAAACAGAGACTTCAGTGTGAACAAGGATATGAGTGGGTTTTTCATGTAAGAAGAGAGAGTAAATAAACAAATGGGGAAATTATAACCTAATAAATGTAAATTAAGACAATAACAAAATGTCATTTATACTTAATAAATGGTTTTAAGTAACAAACTCTTTTGTTGCTAAAATAAAGTAAAATTGGCACAGTCAGATGTAGCTAATGGAATGAGTACATTGCCATAACCCTTTTGGAAAGCATTTTGGCAACATTTGCAAGAAATCAGCAAAAATGGTTGTGCATTTTTGACCCAGCTAATTTTACTTTGAAGAATTTAATGAAATGGGAATTCCAGAGAAGCACGAGCTAGTTATCATAGCGTTGTCTATATCCACCAGTAGAGGGACGGTTAAGTGAATCATCACTGGGCATTTGATGGGATTTTTATCCCTTCATTAACACAATGCTTTTCATACAATCTATTGGAAACAATAGAGCATGACATATGTTACAGCTGCTCTCAAAAATATGTAAGCATGTAGACGAAGCCTAAATGAGAACCCCAGAAAGAAGGTCCCAAGTAGCCCAGTGGAATTCTGAGTGGATTTTCACATTGTTTTTCTTTTATGGTTTGCCCTTTCTTTGAAGTAAAAATCAGGAGGAAGAAAGTGTTGATTATAGAATATGGTGTTCAGTACCACTTGTTTAAAAAACAGAACTCTAATTAGTTTCAGGTAAGCTGGCACCAGCAGAGACAGGACTGCCATTTTGTTAATAAAGATGTGGTAAAATGGTTTTCATTTGAATATATCATTTTTTCAAAAGTGAATTTTATCCTTTTGGACAAATACATGACACTCATCCCTGACCCCCTTATGCTTTCTGAAAAATTCTATCAGTGTAATGATTCAAAACATTCCCATCTTTTGTATGCACCGTTTGTGAATATCGCAGCCCTTCCGCAAGGATGGTGTGGCCCCTTCCTTTGAGGATGCTGTTGTGGCCCCGAGTCTGCCCAGCTCAGTGCCAGCCGCCCCCTGGAGCGGTTGGAGTTAGCGAGTGCCATAGTGATTGAGCACTGGTTGGTGATTTAGTACAGATGTCATTCTCTGTATTTGAAAATTAATCTAAAATCTGCCTAGAAAGTACACTGTTTTTGGCCTCCATCCAGATTTACAACATATAAAAGAAGGTACAAAGTCACATCGTCAGAGAAGCTTGATGTATTTTGCTTAGTGATTTCCTTTCTTTTTCCAGAGATAATTCAGGCATTAAAATACTTGGCCAGATCCTGTTAGGTGCATGACTAGTCAGGTGTCCATGAGGCATTTTTTGGAAGTTCATTTTTAATTTCAGGACATTGTATTACCATTCAGTGGAAAGTTGCATGTCTTGGAAGTATCAATGCCCAACTTACACCTGGCAGTGCACTCACCGAGAAGGGGCTGGTCCAGTGTTGGGTGTAGACAGTGCACCAGGTTTCTCAGTCATTGAGAAGATTCTTTCAAGCTGGAGTTTCTTGGGCTGATCTTTTACTTTTTTTGTTCTTTCCCTTTGCCAGGATTGATGTGTCTCAGAATGATCTTCCTTGGGAATTTATGGTTGACCGTCTTCCTACTGTCATGTTTTTTCCTTGCAACAGGTAATGCTGAATTTTTTTCAGTTTGGGGTAGATGAGTTTCTTTTGCTGAGGTCTGAAAATGAAGTGAGTTTAAGATGTAAATCATTTGTTATGACTAAACTGTTCAAAAAGTATGCCCTTAGGGACACAGGCTGGAAGGGCTTTAGTGTCAGGATGTCATGTGAGGTGTGGATTTTTTTAAGGAGGTCTGCTCTTCTCAGAGTCTGTTTCTTACATGAGCATGAATGTGGCCATCAGGATTTGTTAGCTTTCATGGCCTGCATGAACATCTGGAGGATACAGCGATTGACAGGGAGGAGCCCCATGTCTGTGGGGCACGACAGCAGCAAGTCCATGGAGCCCTGCTTGCCCCGAGCCTTCCCCTGCGCAACACCCTCCTTGCTCGGATTCAAGGCGCCCCGCAACGGAGCTTTCTCGCCACGTGTGCAGACTGCTGCGAATGTCTGCCGTGCGGTCATCACTTGATCTTTTACATTTGCTTGACTAGTATTCCAGGCTCAGTTATTACAGCCACTGCCTTGAAAGCCCCAGCAAGCAGGGCAGGGCGTTAGCAAAGGGGTAGCGGACTTCCCAGTTAGGGAATGTGGGTGCCAGTGTTCCGGTAGAAGAGGAAATGAACTCTTGGCCCTTACAGCCTGAGAAACTGGATATTCGCTCCCTTTTTACAGAGTCCCTGTGGTTTTTAGAAGGTTGGGTCCTCTTGGCGATGAAGTCATATGGCTTTGACAGAATCTTCTCTACAGCGAAGTGTTTGCAGGATCATTTGGGGAGGTCCCTGACTCGTGTGACGTTGGCTGTTTTCATTTCCTGCCTCCCTGTTGCGATTCCGTGTGGCCACTGCTCTGCTTGTCACGTTTCTCGAAGAGAGTGCTTCCTTGGTGTCCGTGGATCATTTCCTTGGTTTTTGCTCTTTATCTCAAATAATTTTTGCTGGAATACTTCCTGTGGTAGTAGGGTCTTGTCAAGTCATGCACTAAAAACAGAATGTGACTCACCCTATTCTACTGCTGACTGAGTCGTGAGGGGCCTTTTTCTTTCTAAGAAGCATTTAAATTGCCATGTAGTCAAAGAATCATGGACAATAACACTAGCAATGTCATCTGTGCAGGACAGAAGTTGGACATGTAGTTTAATGAAGTGTAGGTTTTGAATTCCAAACATAGTTTGGAAAAGTATTAAAGTTACAGCACCCAGCAAATGCCTTTGCATGTAGTAGTTCTCAGCAACTGGAAAAAATCAATGTATACTGAGAGACACGCACACAACAGGTAGCACAGCGGAGGGTTGTTTGGAGCCCTGCATCTGGGTCGAGTGACTTTCATTCTAGAGCTGCCTGGTGTAGTTTGGAGATGGAGATGAGTTTGTTCTCCAGACATGTGCTGGGCAGTTGCTGCCTCTACTATTTTCCTTGAACAGGAAAGGTCAGGAATGTAACTTTGAATATGAGAAGCCTGAGCAGTTCTATTTTGATGGAAAGAGCTTGGTAAACCAAAGCCCTGTGGCTTTGGAATGGAATTTTTCTCATTTCCTAAAAATAAATGGTAGTCAGAAGTGGAGTAAGCTCATCATTAGCTGGCCCACAGTGAGCAAGTGGTTTAGCCAGAAGGCAAATGGGCAGATGACGTGAGCTGACAACTTGCAAAAGAGGAAATGAAAAAGGCTGTTTGATAACATATAATAAGACCTTTCTCACGGTTCACCTGCTTATGCTATTTTTAGTGAAAGGAATATAAAATTGTACATGCACTGCAATGGAACAGAAACTCGTGCGTGTGCTAGCTGCAGATGTGTGCAGCGGGGAGAACGTCAAGGTGTTGACGACGATTATTCAAAGGAGTGAATACTGCAAGTGAATTGCAGGTGTTTCTTGTGTGCCTTTTATGTCCCTTATAAATTGCTTACAAAGAACACATCCTGATTTCTAAAAATCATGAAGGAGAAAACCCATGTGAAAGAGCCTATCCTCTGGGTGGAGGCAGGAGGCGGGGCTGGGACCTTGAGGGAGACTTAACCTTCCTGTGCGGGCGTCTCAGAGCCACTCCT